TCGCGTATAAATCGTTCATATATATTGTAAAATAAACAAGGCATCGGCATCTCTTTCTCTCCGCGCACGGAGACGAGTGCGAAGAATTTCTCTCGCTCGCGAGGTGGAGGCAAAAAAAAAGTCAGAGCTTACTTGTATACACTACTACTGCGCTCGGCTTGTCTTGGCGGCGCATCGAGAGTTTCATTGACCTTGTGCTGCGCGGCGGCGATGACGACGCCGACGACCTTTCAACGCCCACCTTTCTCTTATAGGCTACCGAAGTATGTATACATACAGCAACAGAAAAAAAAAGAATAAGAAGAAGAAGCGCACGATCATTCCGTTTCTGTACTGCAGATCCGCTCGTGGATTATAGAAATCGAAACTCATTCTTGCGGCTTCGTACTTGACCGTCGATTTTTATTATTATGCGTGTATATATAAAAAAAAGGCATCTCTCGTATATTATAAGCGCGGCGCAACGCCGACGCTTAGATTATTGTCTTTAGAAAGTGTTAACTGCCCGACGGGGTAATTGTTTTCTCGTTTAAGCGCTTCAAAAAAAAACGCATCGGCGAAATCCATTGCGTGTACGCACACACCGCATACCTGTGTATGGGCGTACATAATATATTTTTCAAGCTCGAGTTCAATCCGTATGCTTATGGTACTAAATTGCATCGTACCCGAGCACCGCCTAAATGTAAACTCGTTATTTACGTTTCGGCTGTCTGTATCACTGGCTCAGTGGGTTTCCGATCGCCCCCGCTATTTTAATTCCGATTTTTTTCGCATGTCCAGTGTACACACGATGTTGCAACCAAACGACGACGACGACGTGTTTCGACGCAAACAAAGAAAATCGAACACATACATCTGTACGCGCGCACATTGTCATTAACGTTTTATCTGCCTCCGCAATCCCCCCGCACCGGCTCACGTGTATATAAACACAATTGACAAATGTATCATTACATTGTCTATAATTATGCGTTTCCCGAATGTCTGCCTGTAATATACTGGGATTAATAACGATTTCGACGTAAGAATACCAAGATTTGTTTGTCCACTTCTCTCTCTCTCTCTCTCTCTCTAAGCATGGCAACTTTCACGTTCTCTGTTTGGCTATATATACGAGCTTGTGTGTCTGTCCGTTGTATCGAATGTGCGAATGTGCAGTACGAATGGGTAAAAGCAATTTTTCTCTGTGCCGCTGCTACAGCGTGTAAGTAGCTCCTAATTTATTCGTAATATATTTTTTCTTCGCGAGGAAAAAAATCTGACGTTTCGAACGCATTTACCAGAAAATTTGACGTACGAAGGTGTATCTATGCATTTATCAAAAAAAAAATTCAATGTTATACCCTTTTGTTCGCAATGACTCAAAAGAAGTTGTTTATTTTTTTCTCTCTCTCTCGACAAAGAATCGTTAACCTTACCCGCAGGGGGAAAAAATCGTTCCGCGCTCTTATCATCGATCATAATTTTTTCATTCTTTCTTTCCTCGAGTTAAAAAATGTACATTATATGACTAATATATCTCATTGTATGAAATATATTCGAGTGTATGCACTCTTAAAACAAACATTCGGTCGATGACGATGAATGAAAACAAAACGATCAGCCGCGATGAAAACATCAATGTCGTGGTGGCGATGCTTTCGAAAATTGACTCGGCTCAAAGTACCTTCGTATATTTATACGATCTATTATTCTTCATTTTGACACGTGCAGCGAGTACTATACACTGCACATCTTCGAAGCGAAATTTATGGAATACATAAGCTCGAGTCGAATCGCTCTTACACGGACCGAGATTTCCCGCGCCAATCATAAGCTCGTAATTCACGAAATCCTGCGCTACTACGCGGTGATAAAAATCGAGTCAAGCTGTTTTTGTAAAAAGCGTCTAATCTCTCATGGGTCCAGAAAACTCAGACTATATACACGCGGACGAGCGGCGCGAGCGATTTCTCTTACATATGCGCGCACTATATACCAGTGGTTGAAGCAGCGGCAGCATAAGCAGTGGCTATATGCGGCGATGGGTTCCGCTGACCCACTGACACTGAATTATCGCACACATGCATATGGAACTCGCTGTATAGGTGCGCACACATGTATACACAGAGGCGCTCTCGCGGGCTCGCGAAACTCAGGCTGTATTATGGTACATATATAGCGTATACGAATGTGCAGTATGGTATTCATAGGAGATGAAAAAAAGTGGCTTTTTCAATGTCGCGTACGCGTAAATATACGCACACGCGTAATGGAAAAATGCTTCACACAGTCGGCGGCGCAGGGGCAAATATATGCATAATGAAAAACCGCGAAGGTTTTCTCTTTTTGAAGTTGCTGCTGCTGCCGTTGGCTCCGCGCAGCCGTCAATGCTATTTATACGTGCAAAACGCGAGAGAGGAATATTCGCGCGTGCGAATTGTGCGGATTACTTATATGTATATTACTTTCGAGCGTCATGTGTGTGTGTACGTGCGTCGCTTCGGAAATCGGTTTTACTTTTCATCCCGGCGCGCGCCAACTGTGAGAGAGAGAGAGAGAAGAAGAAGTCGATAATCATACGTGCGTACGCTTGCACACATATACACACGTTTAGCCATACATTATATGTATATATTTGCCGAGAAGCTGCCTTTCTACAAGTAGTACGTATGTGTTTACGCTCGGGTATATATACCATTTTCAATAAAGCGCGGCTAATTATCGACTTTGTCAGTCGTCGTCGTCGTGGCTCGTCTTCCATATCCTCCTCCACCACCTCCTGCCTGCTGCCTGCACCGATCGCTCGCGCGTATCGCTACGTATACATGGTATATACATAAACGACGATACATAAAAACCCAATACGAGCCGAACACCTTGGAAATCCATTAAATAACGACGGCAATTATAATCGGCATATACAAGCCGAGGAATTATAATAAATTGGCAAGTTCGTACATTATAAGGCTCGATCTCAAGCAGCATCGAGTTGAGAAATATATATTATATTTCAATAAACCTTTCGAATCAGAAACTCGCTTTGCCGTATATATCAATGATACATTTGAGGAAAAATTCCTTCCTGATTCTTCTCGCGCGCGATTCAAGGACGAAATCGGTATTATCCTTTTCAGCACCTACTGTGCGCAAACGATATATGTTATGGTATACGGTATAGAGATACGATATAATGATCGTCACGAACTGTATATACACATCTTATAAAACGAGAGATCTACTTTACGAAGGAGAGAGAGAGAAAAAAAATCTTCGGAACAATCAAAACGAGCGAGTTTCATTTATTAAAAGGCCGCGAGCAGCAGCACACATATGTATAAATTTATACATTATTATACCGAATGAATCGACGAAGCCGCCGCGCGGAAAAGATAATAATACGAAGTGAAAATTGCAATATAATGTGTATACAAAGACGACGGCCGCGCGCTGGAAAATGCGAAGACGAAAAAAAAAAAATGACCAAAAAAAGGCCTGCACACGATCGTTGCGCGGAGTCTCTAGAGAGTCTCGCGCTTTCGACCGAAGCGCGATTACTATCTCTCTCTCTCTTTGGCCACCGCTCGCGGCGTTATCTCACCTGTTCGCCAGACGTTTATTCCGTATACTAGTGTGTGTATATACGTGTGTGGGAGAGCCTCTCGGTCATTGTATATGAATTATTACCCGTTGCAAAGCGATGAATGACTGCCGTACAGGCCCACCTTATTATTTCATCGCTTATATTCATAGACAGCTTCAACGATTCGAGATACATTTTCGGGATCAAAACACTCGACGATACAATAATACGCACACATTTGTATTATTAAAAATAATACCCACGCCGTGTGTATGTGCCACGCGAAATTTAGGTCAGCAGTGAGAGTGATGTGTATGTATATAACGCTATCCTATATTATTACATCTACGAAGAATTCGCATTGTTACAACGAGAGCTGTACACTCCACTGCTATACTCGAATGCGCGTGCAAAATCCATTACGACTTGTGTATTAAAAAACCCGAGCTTTAAGTTGAACCATCGTCATCGTCCACGTAAATTTTTCCACGTGAATTCGAATAACAATCGCCGAATACTGATATTTTTGTTATAAACATGCGTTAAATATCATCCTTATGTGCTTATATATATAGCCTCTCAGACGCGATGATGCTTTAATTCTCTCGAGGCTCGCGCACGAGCGATCACAGCGAATCCTTTCACTTTATATATACGAACGTTAACGCGTAGAGTCAGATATGTGCATCTTTAAACGCGAGAACGTCTGCGAGTGTCTGCTATATATACTATCTATATGTACCCACGAGTCGGATGAAAAGTCTGCGTGTGTAGAAACTCAATTACAAAATCATTTCCAACTGCGACTACCGAATTCTCGCGCGAGCAGCCTTTTAAGCCAATGATTAATCAATTTCGCGTACATATATGTACTTTAAAACGAGATGATGCGCGCGTCAAGATGAGGAGCTGCGCTGACTTTCCACGCCGCCGACTTATTCGACGTTAAAGTCTAGCAGCTATCTCTCCGATAGAGCGTGAAAATGAGAAACTGCGTGCGAAAGACGTCGGTATGATATATAAATGAGACCCTGGACTCGACGCAAATAGTCCAAAACCGAGCTTTTGTCCCTTTTATTCATAACGATTTAGCATACACTGCTTCTTGAAGTTGTAGTGACGCGATCGTTAGGAAGGTCGTTTTCCGACTTTGAGTGCGTGCGTGCGTATAATAAAGCTCTATTGTGTTGTTATATTCATAAATTATCTATACGTACATGTTTATCGCTTAGCACTTCATCATTATTAGATCAATATTAAAATTGCTTATGCACGATAAATCTTATTTCTTGACACGCCGTTAACATTGAATTATGAATTATATTGTTCATAAAGAATTTACTCGATTTATCATTATACGTATAGGTAACAAATGGAAAAATTTACAATCTTTTTTTTACAACTTGTCTCTCTTTTCTTGTCATTTCAGAACCAGTTTGGCGCTACTGTCCCTGGTTTTCACGGTATCGGCACTTTCACAAACGAATCAACTATTCGACGTTTCCGGTAAGTTGGAGCGCCACGCACTTTTATATACGCGTGATGCATTTGGGAAAATTTTAATTGTTCGATGTGGTTGCGTCATTTCATCGAGTCATATGTCGATTTTTAATCGATGCGCTTTTTTTGTTATCTTTGCAGAGTATCTATACGGCGTAGAATATGACTTGCAAGCTCGCGCGAGGGCAGCCATCGAAGCTGAGCAATTCACACTACAGAGACAGAAAGAGTAAGTTCTGCATTCGATTTACTTTCCTTTTTTTTTTAATCAACTCAAGCTTGCCTTGGCAGAAATGCTCAACGTTTTATGGCTAGATTTTGCCGAAAAAAGTTTCTCGAATGCGAAAGGGCCACTTGAGAGCTGGATTCATACGAATCGAATGTGTAACGATTTTTCAACATTTTTTAAACTGAATATAAAATAATTAGTATTGGTGGCTGTAAAATCATATCAGATGTTGGAGCCTCGTAAAATCATGCACTGACTTATACAATTATTTCTACTTTGCCACTTGCAGAATTACAAATAAATGTATGCTCGCCATCTAGTGGTGAAGGTTCAAAGTAACATCAAAGTAATACCATGATACACTTGAAAAAATAAATAAGCAAATAAAATCTCTAATACGAACTCCATGTCGTATTTACATCTCGCTCGATTTTTTCCCGGCGTTTTCACGGCACGAACGCGGATGCGTGTAACGTATCCTTTTTGCCGGGGCAGTATGGAAAACGGAAGCGATCGCGTGTCTCTATCTCTCTCGAGGAGGCAAAGAATCCGGCGCGTTTTTCATTTACAAACGTGCGTACGTGATCGAGTCCACGTTGTTGCCGGTCGTTGTTGGCTCTGCAAAAAAAAGACGTATCGTGGCGGGGCGCGATCCTATACACGAGAAAAAGTAAAAGTCGACGCACGAGGGGATCGCTTCGCCGCGCGTCTCGTTCAACGAGTCTCGGACGTATTAGATGACGTTGCGCCTCGATGATATTAAATTGGGACTTTAATATTGGAGACACTATTAGCCCGTTTTTTACGTACATATTTTCGGGTACGCAAAAAATAAGACGGTTGTATAAATTCCTTCGTTGATTTATTGCTCTGACAAATCGTTATGTAAAAAAAAAGAGACAGCGCGGAAATAATTTTCCACGCTGCGCCTCGCGCGGATGAATTTAACCGAACAAAAGTACGTATATTGCGCGCGATTACGACGAATGAATACATTATATTATATTATACATTATAATATGTAAAAAAGTATTTTCCAACGTTATACACGTATGATGGATGCGCCCGAAGTACCCACGAAAGTGACGGCATTATTGATGTACTCGCGCGGGAAAAATTGTGCAGAGACGCCGTAGAGAAACCAGGAAGTTAAATGCACGATACTACTACTATATATAGTGTCCGGGGCAGTGTCGGTATGGGGAATCGTAAGCCGAGTTTTCGCGCGCCGTACATATACGAATAAGTAATCGTTATTATACATGGAAAATACGGCGGAAGAAAAACCCGTGGCGACGGTGGTGATTTATCAGCGATTTATCATCATCGTGCGAAACGATATCTTGCGTCATTTTTTCGCGATTCGATGAGAAAACTACGAAAATGTAGTAGTTTTTTCGCAGAACTGCAACCGAAACGCAACCGAAAGTTTCCTGCTCGGACGAGATATATACCCAGCAAGAGTTGCCACATTTAATATTAACTAATATTTCTCGTTTGTCCGGTAATAGGTCACCGCAGCCGCCGCAAGACGAGCCGTGTCGCGTAAGACCGGAGCGGCCCTGCCCACCGAGCAAGTATCGGACACCTTCGGGCGCTTGCAACAACATCAGGCACCCGGCATGGGGCGCCCGTGGCTCGCCGTATCTGAGACTGCTGCCGCCCGCCTACGTCGATGGTAAGTGTCCGATTTATTATTTGATTTAAGAAGAAGAAAAAAAAAACCCTTGGAAATGATCGACAAGGCGAATTAAATATAGGCGAATCGTTTGTCAAACATTTTGTAATTTATGCACGCGAGACTATTAATCATATTGGTTATATGCGAGAAGTATAATCGTTATAAAATAGTCTGGTATAATCAATCAAGTTAAATCATCGAGCCGAGGGACACTACTTCCTGAACGCATTTTTAAAAATAAAAATCACAAACGCCGCAGAAAAACAATGACCCACGTCACTGTATGAAATATATAATATACGATTTGTCAAAACGAGAATGACTCTTTTCCAATATATAACTTTCGCGCTCTCGCAACAACGAAAAAAAAAACAACAAAGTACATTACAGTCTCGCGACGCGAACTTGCATCAGATTCACTGCAGTAAAAATAGACTCACGCGCGCTCGCGCAGGCTTGTAAAATTATGAGGTTGAGCGAGAGAGAGACAGACAGACAGAAAAAGAAGAAGTAGAAGAGAAAAAAAAACGCGAAATTTACTATACGAGTTGCAGGTTTCGAGTCGCCTGGCATACTGGCGCATATTATAGACGTATACGCGTTGCATATAGAGAGAGAGAGAGAAAAAAAAGTAACTCGAGCTTGTATTGCGAGGCGGTAGTAGTAGTAGTAAATACGACGCGCTAAATTTATCGCTCGTTGCATAATTAATAAGCACGTAGTATTGCGAGCCGTTATAATATACGTGAGTGCATACCGGCACGTGATAACCGCATCTTCGCTACAAAGGGTTCTTGTCGATCGCGAATATTAGCCAGCTCGTCTCTTGGTTTCGGGGCCTAGATTATAAATGTTTCATTACGACTCGAGCCGTTGTATATATGCGTTGGTATGATGCGTCGTTGTTGTTGCTGTTGCGTGACGCGCGAGGCTCGATGTGTATATAGAAAGTGAAAATCAGAGCAGCAGCAGCATGAGGCTATTGGGTGAAAGATGGATTAGCATGCGTGCGGTGTATAGATAGTGTATGATGTATGGCGCAATAGACTCGATATTATAATGCGTGTATAATACACCACGGGATGTATGTGCGACTCGAATTCGCAGGGAAATTTTCGATCCCATTGCGGCCGTATCCAGTCGGAGAAGACTGACTTGTGCGTTACTCGCGAAATTTAATCGAATTCTCACCCGAAGCAGCGGCAGCGTTTGTTAAAGTCAAAACTTCAATTTCACGGTATACGCGGTTTCGATTTTTTACGGCTAATGCATTTTTTTTTCGATACTCGAGAGAACGTTACATATATACGCATGCGAGTATATGTTCAATTAGTCCGAATCAGAGTAGAAAATTTTGCCCGAGCTCTGCTGCTGCTGCTGATCTTTGAAGAGAGAAAGTTCACGCTGCTGCTGCTGCTGCTCCTCGCGGCGCGCATATAATTGTTCGGCTAAACGACGCCGTGTGTACGCATTGACGTACGCGCACGTTTCGATATTATGTATGCGTGTTGCAAAAAAAAAGGGAAAAAATTTTTATCTTTATCAATTATATAGATCTCGACACCTCGTATGTGTATAAGGATAGTGGCCCAAAGCTCGCGATTCCGTAACGCGCGAAAGTATATGTACAATCCGTGAATTAAGTACGGACGCATCGCGAGTTTTGATTACGATTATAATTTGTATATAAATAGGCACGTGTTATACCCGCATACGGCGTAACGTCTACGTTGTAAATAATATCGTACTTACGCGAGGATCGTCTCGACCGAAAATTTTCATTTCTACATTGCCGCCTGACACACATAAGTGCATAATAATAAATAAACAAGCAGCGGCGCGAGACTCATTAAGAATTACACTCGTGTGTACAATGCACTCGTCCGAACGTTATCGGTAATCCCATGACAATTTTCGAGCTTTATGTAAGACAATTAATCTTATTATACAAAAAAAAAAAAAGATCGAGAGAAAGAAAAAATTGCACAACCTGGTCATAGAAACGAATATCTTATAGGACGAGTACTACTTTTGCTATACGTGTAATGCTCTTTTGCTATATAAGTGGAAAGTGTTCGAGCTTTATAATATACTGTGTATGCGCCAGGCACCAACATGTAACTTATATAATATGGTGTCACACGCGCGCCGCGATGGGCATACGTATGCAGTATGCACATGCACACACGCATACATAAATACAAATTACGTAATTGCGTCTATGAGGAGAGCGACTACACCTAATTCAAAACAACAACAACAACGACGACGAGTACATTAAGACGTCAAAAGACTTATCGATCCTCGTCGTGATCTTATCCGATCGTAAACCATTTTTCTTTTTTGGCATATATGTATACATCGCGTCGCGCGCGGCGAAGAACGAAAGTTGATAATTGGCACGCGCGCGTGTTCGAGAGCCGATCGTAATTACAAAACAGTTATACATCGGTTGAAAGTCGCGAGGATTACATTGTATACGCGTATATCATTTTTGCGTCGCGCAACGAAGATCGATTCGATTTTTATTTTGATTTTTGGGAAAATTTTTAATCTAGTACGTTAAATTCGAACCGATTTCTATGACCGCGAAACAAAATCGTCTGGGCCATGGTATAAAAATCGCGCGCGTGTTTATACGCGAAACGATAAATTATAAATATGCGCGTTCGAGTCTATATGTACGTATGCGTGCGCGAGTCGTGAAAGCTCACGCGTAAAAGTTTTTGTCTCGTCTCGTCTCGTCTCTCGCGCGCGCACACGTGGAGTTGGGAGAGCAGCAACAGCAGCGGCAAAAAAGGAAAAAAATTCGCAGCGAGAGTCCACGCGACGACTACGAGACGTTTTTGTCGTTGTTAGAATCGATCGTTTAACATACTCGATCGGCGCGGACTTTCGCTGGCGGCGAAAAAGTACGCGCGCTGCAGCGCGGCGAGATGTCTCCATTCCAAGCGCGCATTATTCCGGCTACTGCAAGGTGCCAGTATGATACAGGTTCTGTTGCACCGCTCCTGATAACTTATGAAATAAACATTTTTATTTATTTGTATTTTTTTTCGTATGTAACTCTGCCGCGCGTATAATTATAATACACGTAAAAAAACTTTTACCTATACACAATGTTGACTCTGCGTCACAGTAGCGCACATTACTGCAAGTGTTAAAAAAACATATGGGTCCGCGTGCGTAAAAACAAGCGCAACGAGGAATACACGATAAACGAAATAGTAAACCTACTTTTCTTTATCTTTTCTTTGCTTTTGGTTTTTTTTTTCAAACGTTCATTACAACAAAAAAAAAGCGCCGCCAAGCGGCCTTGGGATCGCCGATGTGTACAAAATTATGCACACAAGAAACATCGGCAGTAGGCTTCATTTACTCTACGCGCAGAGAGAGAGAGAGAGATTATTATCTTCCTGAATGTATAATTATGCCGTACGAGGCAATTTTTCGCCGATAGAAAGTAGAAGGAAATAACGATGTACGAGAGATTCGTATGTGTACACTGCGGCGTCGTTAAGCTACCGATCGGTTAAACGTTTGCGTACAGACTCTTTATAATTGTTCCGTATATAAAATCGAGATAAATCGAAGAATCCTCGATTTTCGCCGTTCCGAAACTAATGACGAATGCTCGTTGGATTATAACTGCGCGGTAATTGCGAGCATAGCATCTGCATTTTTGAGATTGTTAGTCACTTAGCGATAATTAAGACTCGCATTTTTCCAATCTCTCACTAAAACTTCTTTTTCTTCTTCTTCTTCGCAGGCATCAGTCGACCGCGCAGCAACGGCCTACCCTCGGCTTCGAGCCTGGCCCAGCAGTTGCGCTCGAGCCGCGTCCCGGTGGCCCACGAGGCCCTCAACAGTCTCACCGGCGTCTGGGCCGAGCTCCTGCTGCGTGACATCTCCGAGCCCGTCCAACCCGGCCGCCTGCCTCAATGCTGCTCCACCGACAACCCCACGAACGCCCATCCCGAGTGTCTCGCCGTCCGCGATTCTCGGGGCGCCTGCCTCTCGTATCGTCGCGCCGTCCCCAGTCTCGACGCGCACAGCTGTCACTTCAGGTCGCGCGAGCTCATGAACGGCGCCTCGGGCTATCTCGACGGCTCGGACATCTACGGCAACAACGACGACCGGCTGCACAAGCTCAGGACCTACAGCAAGGGTAGGGTGGACGTGGACCAGTGCGAGCTCTGCCGCTTGGCCAATTCGAGTCTCGGGCACGTGTACCAGGTGCTGCTGCACGAGCACAATCGCGTCGCCGAGGAGCTCTCGGAGATCAATCAGCACTGGGACGACGCCAGGATCTTCCTCGAGGCTCGTCGCGCCGTTGTAGCCGAGATCCAGCAGATCACCATGAACGAGTTCGCGCCCGTGGTGCTGGGCCAGGACACGTACGTCGACAACGACCTCAGGCCCACCGGTAACGGCTTCTACTCGGGCTACTCGTCGGACAATCGGGGCGGTGCCATCGACGCCGTCGCCCTCACTGCCCTGCCCATTCTGGCCTCGCTCAAGCGCAGCAACGCCTCGGCCATCGAGGAGCAGCTCGTCTCCGCAGCGAGCAAGGTCAATCTCAACGTGGCCTCGGTCGCCTCCGGCAGCAGCTGGGATCCGGCCGCGTTACTTATCCAGCTGGGCCGCGATCACGGCGTGCCCTCCTACGTCGAGTTCGTGCACAAGTGCAGCGGCGGTAAATTCAAGGTCGACTCGTTCAGCAATCTCAAGGGCTTCGTGACGCCCAAGGACGTGCAGCTGCTGCAGCGCATCTACGAGCGCGTCGAGGACATCGATCTGCTGCTCGGAGGAATCCTCGAGATCCCGCACGAGGGAGCCGCCCTCGGTCCCACCTTCGTCTGCCTACTTCGCGAGCAGCTGGTCAAGCTGCGCAACTCGGATCGCTTCTGGTACGAGAACGACATACCGCCGTCGAGCTACACGCCCGAGCAGATCACCGAGATACGCAAGGTCACCCTGACCCATCTGCTCTGCGCCAACTCGGCCCTGTCCAAGATCCAGCCCAAGACGTTCCTGCAGCCCGACGCCTATCTCAACGCCAAGGTCGACTGTCAGCAGCATCCCGGCCTCGATCTCGCCGCCTGGAAGGAGGAGCACACCGAGGTCGGCGAGGACGATCACGTGGCCACGACCGTAGCGAGCGACGAGGGTCTGTCCCTGCTCACGGAGATGGACGAGCGCATGATCGCCGAGGCCGTCAAAGAGGCCGAGCAGAAGCTGAGACAGAGGAAGCAGCTCGAGTACGAGTCCTGGCGCCAGCAGCAGACCTCGGACCCGCGCTCGCCCGCCGGTATCGCCGCCAGCTTCTCCAAGGCCAATCGTGGAGCTTTATCCATGGCCAACTCGTCGATCTTGTACGAACTGGCGACGAACGAGCTGATCAACGGTATCGACGGCTTCCGTAGACGTCGCAAGCGTCAGGCCTTCGACGCCGGCAACAACATCCTCGGCTTCCCCAACAGCGACTTCAACGACATCCTTCAGAACGTCGACATCTCGGGCTTCATACCGAGAAAACAGCCGACGCATCACGACGAAATCGAGTGCCCGGTCGACGAGAGCCCCTGCGACCCCACCACGCCCTATCGTACCTTCTCGGGTCACTGCAACAATCTGCGCAACCCGAGCCTGGCCAAGTCGCTGACGACCTTCGCCCGCCTGCTGCCGCCCAACTACGAGGACGGAGTGTCCAAGCCCCGACTGACCGGAGTGACCGGAGCACCTCTGCCCAATCCACGTAGCATCTCCACCACTATCCATCCGGACATCTCAAATCTGCACAATCGCTACACCCTCATGGTGATGCAGTTCGCGCAGTTCGTCGATCACGATCTCACCATGACACCGATTCACAAGGGCTTCGCCGAGTCAATCCCGAGCTGTAGGTCGTGCGACTCGGCGCGCACCGTCCACCCCGAGTGCAATCCCTTCCCGGTGCCGCCCAACGATCATTTCTATCCCACTGCTAATGTAACTTCGGGCGTGAGGCTGTGCATCCCGTCGATGAGATCTCTGCCGGGCCAGCAGACTCTCGGGCCCAGAGAGCAGATCAATCAGAACACCGGCTTCCTGGACGCCTCGGTGGTCTACGGCGAGAATCGCTGCATCGCCGACATTCTGCGCAGCTTCAACGGGCGCATGAACATCACCAACAATCCGAATCGCGGCAAGGACCTGCTTCCGCGCTCGCCCACTCACCCCGAGTGTCGGGCGCAATCGGGCTTCTGCTTCATCGCCGGCGACGCTCGCGCCTCCGAGCAACCGGGTCTGACGATGATGCACAACATGTGGGTGCGCGAGCACAATCGCATCATGGAGGGCTTGCGCAGCACCAATCCGCACTGGGAGCACGAGAAGCTGTTCCAGGAGACAAGGCGCATCGTCAGCGGCATGCTGCAGCACATCACCTACAACGAGTTCCTGCCGCGCATCCTCGGCTGGAACGCCGTCAGTCTGTACGGACTCAAACTGCTGCCCCAAGGCTACTACAAGGACTACTCGCCCACCTGTAATCCGGCCATACTGAACGAGTTCGCCACCGCCGCTTATCGTATCGGCCACTCGATGCTGAGGCCGCATCTGCCGCGCATGGATCGCAGCTATCGCAATGTCGATCCGCCGATCCTCCTCCGCGACGGTTTCTTCAATCCCGACATGCTGTACCAGGTCGAGATGATCGACGAGATGATCAGGGGTATGGTGTCCACACCCATGGAGGCGCTCGATCAGTTCATCACCGGCGAGGTGACGAATCATCTGTTCGAGCAGAAGGGCATTCCGCACTCGGGCTTCGATCTCATCGCCCTGAACATTCAGAGATCGAGAGATCACGGCTTGCCGTCGTACAATCATTACAGAGCTCTGTGCAATTTGAAGAGAGCCACGTCGTTCGAGGATCTGTCGAGAGAGATGGCGCCGGAAGTTATCGCTCGCCTCAAGAGGGTCTACGCTTCGGTCGACGATATCGATCTCTTCCCTGGTCAGTATAACAATTTTCTATATTATACATCCTCCTGATACACAAGCGAAGAGAACGCTAATTTTTATCATCATCATTATTTTTTCCCCAGGTGGCATGAGCGAGCGACCTCTGCAAGGCGGTCTGGTCGGACCCACGTTCGCCTGCATCATCGCCATACAGTTCCGCCAGTTGCGCAAGTGCGATCGCTTCTGGTACGAGACCGACGACCCCAATATCCGCTTCACCGAGGGCCAGCTCTCGGAGATACGCAAGACGACCCTGTCCAAGGTGCTCTGCGAGAACATGGACGTGCACGTGGAGATGCAGCGCGCCGCCTTCGATCTGCCCTCGAACTTCCTGAATCCGCGCGTGCCGTGCGGCTCGATGCCGCACATGAACTTCGAGGCCTGGCGCGAGACCAGACAGGGCTGCCAGATCGGCGGCAGGAACGTGGCGATCGGCGAGTCCGGCTTCCCCACGCCCTGCACCAGCTGCGTGTGCACCAACGAAGGAGTGAGTGTCGACCCTTTACAATTTGTACCTTGACTTGTAATCTCGGTATAATTATTTATTTAATATTTTTCTCTATCTCTTACAGACTCAGTGCGCATCTTTGAGAGTAACAGACTGCAATCAGTTGCTGCGCGAGGCGTCGCGCGAGGCAATCTTACGGGACGACGTGTGCACGGCCCAGTGCGGTTTCGTGCTCGCCGCCACCGAGGTCAACGGCAACAACAACGCTGGCAATTTGCAATTCAAGCCGCCGCAATTCAACTCGTTCCCCCAGCAGCGCTCGGGCGGTTTGCGCAACTCCTTCAATTCGGCGTTCAACGGCTTCAAATTACCCGATCTCTCGCAATTCATCGGTTGAGGAGAATTTAATCGTCGCGGTGCTCGCGTGCATTTAATCGTTACAAAACGCGATGATTGATTGCATCCGAGGAATCGACTCAAAGAGCGAGATATAGGTTTTCAATGACGGAGATACAAAAACGTGCCAATAGAATCTTTAGATCCAGTACTACAACTATTTTTATATGCGAATGAGACTTGGTTTTCTTTTCGTGTACCTTTTTTTTTTTAATTCGTGTTGAGCAAATTGTCATCCACACGTTCACGCGAGAGAGTACTAGCTAGATTATACCCGTACCAGTTTTACTATGTTTTAATTATTGCATTCTATTCAATGTACAATTATTATATAGTTGTTTTAGTTAAATAGAAGGCGTATGAAGTTTTTGATTATGTTATAAGTAACTTTTCATCTTTCAGTTAATGTAAATATAGCTTGTAAGCGAAGATAGTATAAATAAGTATGACGATACTTTGATACTATTCCGGTTTTTGTAACGTGTACTAATTTATTTTTTTTTATTTCATTACGTTAATGTTTCATTATAGCATCTACTTTCACTAAAAGAAGCATTTTAAAGAGCAATTGATGTACTTATTTAATACGTATTAATTGAATTTGTTCTTTCTAATCGATGAGTAGATTAGTAGATGTTCTTTTAAGAAAAATCTTTGTAATATTTTTCAAGTTCAAGTGTCACTATGAATTCATGAATTCTCTAAAAAAAAACACAAAATATTCAATTGTACATATTGCAAATTGTTCCAGTACTAATTTTACGAATAATGATGTAAAAATGAGTATTTTGAAAGAATAGACACTGCCATTTATTTTATTACTTTCTTGTGAATGTAATGATATCTAAGAATACAAGCAGCAAGACTTATTGTAAACTTTCTTTTATTTCAGTTTTTCCGTTTTTAATTTAGTCTTATTACATTTTTTGTATGGAATAACATTATAACTTGTCTAACGTTAATAAATTATAATTTTTATTTTTTACACCTTGTCTTTTATTGTATTAAAGTAATCATTAGATAATATTCACAATTACTGTCCCTGAATAGTCTAAGAAAAACGAAAGATATGTTTCATCAATTAATTATATACACCATTTTTCAAGTGAAGACATCGATCACAACTCGAAAACTTCAATGATTTCGAAAATTTTCAATTTCAGTCTATTATCAATGACAATTTCATGATTCATTGGAAGTCGAAGAAATAACCTTAAATGTGTTAAAGGTTCCAGAATTTTAACAAAATGACAATTATTTGTTTTAGTTGGCCGTGACTTCTTGTTTGTTATTTGTTAAACTAGAATTTTCCTGTGTCGTGGATGCTTGTTCAATGCATCTCCAGAGTCCATAAGTTTTACCAACAGTTGTTTGCCACAGTCTCAGAGTACCATCTTCTGAGCCACTTGCGTAAAGCTCACCATCAGGAGAGAAACGTATACAATGAATTGGTCCAAAGTGTCCTTTGAAAGATTCTGTTAAAATTTAATAAGATAATATTTAAATGTTTATCAATTGCACGATACATTCAACCATAGTACAAATGATTTTATTGCACAAGTATACAATACCTATTTCATTTCCGCTGCTGTAATCAAATTTATATACTTTCAAATCTTCTCCTCCACAAACAAAAATGTCATGTGCTGGATGAAGACTAGCACTGTTAACTTGCGTAGGTACTGTAAATTCTTTCAATTTAGTTAACCTGCAACATTAATTTAAAAAGTTTGAATTTTACAATTGTATGATTACGGATAAAATATATCTTCAAATACTAGAACTCCGAAGAAAATGTGATTAAGAATAGTGTTCACGTACTCTTTACTATCCCAAAAGGTAACAATGTTTGAATGAGTAGTTGTAATAATTTTTCCATCTTGTGACAATTCCATGGACCTTGGTATGGAAGGAAATTCAATTTTTCTTATCTCTTCAGCATTATGCCTATCCCAAACTCTCAAAGTTTTATCATCTGCGCAAGTCAAAAGCAGCGAATCGTTGTCAAAAAATTTTATGTGACGAACACCACTAGTGTGGCCAGAAAACGTCTATAAAAGAGTAAGAAATTTAAAATTTGACACTTGATACAGAAGTGTTCAATTGCAAATAAAATGTTTACTGTACCTGTGCTTCTGCTTCGGGCTTATTTAGGTCAAAGATTCTGACAAGTTTCTCATTAGAGCCTGTAGACAAGTAAACAGAATCTCTGCTAAAGTCAACAGCTTTCACTATATGCTTATGTTGAAAGGAATGTATTTCTTCTCCTGACAAGGCATCCCAAACTTTTGCATTAAAATCAGCAGCGCCTGTGGCTGCTCTTGTTGCTTCTGGATTCAACGCAACACCCCATACTGCTCCTTTATGCCCTTCGAATGTTCCAATCCAATCTCCTGTATCACCTTGACGTAGCATTGGTTTTCCATCTAAATCAATAGAAAATGTCAGAAAAATCAGTTAAAAATTCGAATTGCCATATCAATGAAATTTCTTGAAGGTAAAATTTTACGTCAAAAAAAATGTCTGCACTGCATAAAATAAATAATCATGTAACTTTCTAACCTGTACCGCAGGTAAAGTACTATTCGCGTTGATAGAAAAGAATTAGGAATTACCTTTGCAAGCGGATATAACGTAATAGCCAGTCTCGGTGATATCTGAAAAGTGTAAATGCACGACTGGACGCGTGTGCCCGCTGCAAGTTAACGGCGTTTGCCTGAGATTGGCCATTATTTACGTGATTGCAATGACAACTCGATGTGTTGTGCTGCTGCTGAGGACCAGATGTATAGGTGCCGGACTGTTTGCGGACGGCAGACGGTTGAGATGCGGCATATACAGTGTATCTATTTAACACACATGTATATGTAAACACACACGCGTATACACAGTATGAAAACAAAGTAACTCGTTGTATCTGAACCTTCGATGGCTTTATATTTTTGGGAAAATTTGAATCATTTATTTTTAACAAATAATTGTTAATAGAACAATAAAGAGTTTACTTGTTTTATTTTAAAAAATCCATTCACTTTTGTTTAGAAGCAGAACAAAATCGAACGATTTTTAATTGCAGTTATTCAACTAAAATAATGGTGGATTACATTATAATTTTTTCAATGTCTTAAACAATTAAATCAATTTTAAGTGTCTAAATATTCTCCAAATGTTAAATTCTAAGTTAAAAAAAAATAAATATTGAAAGTTTTTAATGGATGAGTATGAAAATAAATTAGCTGACTTGTATACTTTTTTTGTAAAATTATATTTATTTACATAACATTACATTTATTACGCTTATAAAAAATAAAAAATAAAATTTTTAACGTCTTTTTGGATTGGGATTGCCCTTGGGTTTAATACCCTTCATTTTAGCCTTTTTCATTGATTTGCTTGCCTTCTGGTTCTTTTTGGTATTTGCTCTGTAAAACACCAACGAATTCAGCATTTATTGTTAATGAAAGGATAAATAAAAAATAGAAAAAGAATAATGAAAAAAAATACTGACTCGTATCGCATTCTCTTGACGTTCTTTCTGCTTGTATCTGTCAGATCGCTAGCGAAGGACGAAGCCTTCCTCTTCTTGACTCTGGTACGGTCTTCAGGAGCAGTAGCATCCACGCAAGACCTCATCTTCTTCGGTTTGATGTTCTTCTTTGCCATACGCGCTTGAAAAGCTGCGACTTTGTTCAATTCTTGCAAAGCTCGTTCTTCAGCTGGATCCAACTTCTTTGCTGGTTTTTTCGATTTCTTGTCAGGCTTTTTATCGGATTTATCTTTAGGCGTCTTGGCAGACTTATCCTTCTCTGGTTTGTCTTGCAGTTTTTCTGAAAATAAAAACGTGCGGTTATAGCTTTCAAGTCACAAGAAACATGTAATGAAGATTCTGAAGCGCAGCTTGTGAAGCTGTATACTTACTTTTCTCCAAATTTCTATCCTTCTGCGATTGGAACCAGACTCGTTGATCTGTGTTGTTTTCGTCCTTCAACATGTTCTCGATGCGGTTGGTTTGATTTTGGCACTTGGCCAATTCTCGCTCTTCCCTCTCCTCGTTGAGGATCTTTTCAACGTCGGGCTCCAGCGACTGAAGCTTTTTGTTATACTTTTCGATTATCTTGATCGGTATGATACGGCGTTTCACTGGATTTTTCGCCTGCTTGATGACTTCGTTGACCAGCTGACGTTCCTGCTCACCGGCCAGCGAGACCGACACACCACCTCGACCCGCACGAGCAGTTCGGCCGACCCTGTGGATGTAGTGCTGCAACGTCGCTGGCATCACGAAATTAATGACGGTTTTGACGCCGCTGATATCCAGACCTCTGGCCGCAACATCCGTCGCTATCAAAACGTCTACTTCTTCGTCTTTGAATTTTCTCAAACTTTCCAATCGTTGAGGCTGCGTTAAATTACCGTGAAGCTCTCCGACCTAGTGTACAAATTTTCTGTTACTTCTGTGATATTTCAGATGGTGGATGTGAAAGTAAAATTTCGACTTACCTTGACTCCTAGAAGCCCTAACAAAATGTGTAATCGGTGAGCTTGCTTTTTGGTTTGTACAAAAATCATGGTGTGATCATGGAAGGTACGGCATACCAGGGCAGCTAGTACTGCTTCTCGATCGCCTTCTCTTTCTTTACGAATTCTAGAAAAGTTCAAAGATATTAGCTAATAATAGAAATTGACTGTATATAAGATTTTGTGTTCTATATTTTCATTGCAGAGGTGCTATAAATTAAATATTTAATAAAAATAAGTCAAATATTGTATCTCAAATTTTACCAACCTAATAAATTCTTGTCGTAAAGCAGAAGCAACATCTTGATTGCTGTCAACAAAAACTTTGACTGGCTTGTCGAGAGAAACAGCAGCTAATTCTTTTACTTCTTCAGTCATGGTAGCTGAGAAGAGCATGGTTTGTCGAGTTCTAGAGCACTGCTTGACAATATGTTTCATCTGTTCAGCAAAATACTCATCCAACATTCTATAAATAATAAATAAATATTATTAAAGAATTATACTTTACTTTAAAATATATGCATAAAAAAAATCTAAAAACCTATCAGCTTCATCCAAAATTAATACTTCAATTGTATTTAAAGTAAAAGTTGGTGCATTGGCTAAATGATCAATCAAACGACCAGGAGTGGCAATAACAATGTCTGGATTTTTTCTCAGAACACTTTCCTAATAACAGATAATTCATGAGTCAAGTACAATAATTTTTTTTAAATTTTCATAAGCATTGATTCAATAAACACAAATATTCCATACCTGTACTTTCACATCTAAACCACCAACTGACAATCCTACTTCAATTGAAGTGAACTGTGCCAATTGCTTAGTTACTTGATATACTTGAACACCCAACTCTCGAGTGGGAACAAGAACCAAAACTCTAGTAACTGGAGTCCCTCCAGCTGGTCTGTACAATAATCTTTCCAAAGTTGGAAGCATATAGGCAGCAGTTTTTCCTGTACCTGTTGCAGCGCATCCACAAATATCTCTACCTAATAACGCAACTGGTATTGTTGCAGCTTGTATAGGAGTTGGATTGTAGTATTTCATTGTACTTATAGCCTATAAAAATTAGATTACGAATTAGATTACTATTTCTAAACTTTTATGGTAAATAAAGATAAATTTAGTTAAACATACTTTAAGAAGTGGTCTGGAAATGTTTAGATTCTCAAATGAAGCTAAGTTGTCATAATTTTCGACAACCTCAAACTTCATTTCTTCTTGTTCCTCTACGGCTTTCCCTTTTTTAGTTTTTTTCAACTTGGTTTTAATGGTATCTTTTTGAAGATCTTCCTCTTCGACGAACAAGTCATTCTCATCTTCAGCATCGTCAAGATTCTCTACTGATGCACTATTCTCAGCCTTACTGGAATTTCTCACTTTCTTGATTTTGTCATCAAGCTTGGTTTTGGCTTTACGTTTGATATATTTGCTCAAATCGTTCCAAGTATCGTGCTCGAAGTCTTCACTGTTGAGAACAAAGTCACCTCCCAAGCCGGTGTCCTTCTTTTTTTCCTTTCTACGTGGTTGAAACTGCAAAACATTGTCAAACATTCACCCATGTAAATACATTTTTTTCTCTCAGTGTATCATAATAACAATAATGGAACAAATAACTCACGTCATCTTCTTCGTCGGAAGGTTCTGACAGATCCTCGATCTCCTGATCACTCTCGATTGTTTTAATTAAATCCATTGTTTCTCCCACGTTAGACGGGGTGCGATAATTAAAAAAAGGTTAAGTTTGCCTTGACGCACGTTGTGAAAAGCCCGTCGCGGCAGACGGCAGACTACATCGACTACACGTGCTTTCACTCGCCAGCTGCTAATTGCTATGCTGCCTGTAGCGCAGCGCCAATGCAGGGCTAGCGGCAGATTTTAAATAATATTGGCATCTCTTCGTTATCAAACCTGATGAATTTTCCAAAATACACAATTTTGTCTATCAATCATAGAAACAATTAAATATTTTACACTTTCGTGATTAATTTTAGTTAAATTTTATATCTTTAAAATTTACATGGTACAATCAAGATATCCTGTCTTTCAGCAAGTTTAAACGCAGCATTAGTAAACAATCGTCATAGATTGTCATTTATTTGGCGGGTTGATACTTGTCTAGACTTTAGCGCCATACAATACCCCCGGCCGCAGTACACTATCTCGAAGGGCCGATCGTCACTCGTCAGTCCGCGCGATCACAGTGCAGCAGTAACATCAACGCGTGTGTCTCGTTCATTTTCAATCGTGAAAGATAATGGCGGAATCAACGCCTGCGTTCACTCTTCCTTATCTCGAGGAAAATCCCTTACGCAAGAAGCAATTCTGCGCCCTGCACTCGGACGGCTACTCGTCGGGCCACAGGCTCGACATAGCCGGCCAGTCCAGTCTGCCCAAGGCCGTGTACGAGCAGCTGTACGCGCTCAACGAGTGCGTCGACTACACCATGACCCTGGCCGAGTTCACCATGATGTGGCGCACGCTGCTGCTCAAGCGCGCCCAGGACGTGCAGGAGAAGTCGACCAAGGTGCGCGTCGGCGTCAAGAAGGTCGGCGTCGACTCGTCCGTCCTCGTGCCGGCGCCGCTCCACGATCTGCTGGCCAGCCTCGGGGAGTTCAGCTCGCCGAGCCTCGGCTGCACGTATTACACGTCGGCGCCCATCGGCACGAGCACCGGCCAGCCCAACTGGAACTGGCTCACCGTGAACGCGGAGGTGCTGCAGAACTGGTGTCGCGTCATGGCCAGCATGAAGCATCAGTACGCGATGCGCGAGTTCCCCGAGGCCGAGGATTACCGCGGCAAGTCCATCATCCTGACCCAGCGCTCGCCGCACAACGGCTCGATCGGCCAGACCTCGGTGAGGTCGTACACGAACGAGCTGAGGCCCGAGGACGGCTTCGTGCATCTCGTGAACGACTCGCTGTACGCGACGCCGCCCACCCAGCTGCACAACTGTCACTTCACCGTCATCTCGAGGGTTTACGAGGCGTCGATAAGGGCCGACTACGTCGGTTCTTACGTGCTCGATCGGACGTGAGAAGTTCTTCGATTAATCGTTTTTCAAGTATTTTACACGAGTGATAGATTAAGCGTGTACCGTTGACATAATTACTATCGTTACTATATGCAGCTCGTTTTAAATGTAAATGTGCCAACAGCGATGCGAGGCTATTGTCTTTTTTTTTTTTGAAAATTTAAAGATTTGTACCATGCAATGGGAATTAGTTGTTAAGACTTGAGATGATAAGTATTTAAGCATGTTCATGATAATGTATGACATTTTTTACGTATTAAAAACGTACAAAACGTAATCTGTTTCATTGACTTTTTTTCTAACCTAAAATAACAATGTTGTTAATTTCAAGCTTTTACAAGAAATAATAAAATACTCGCAATTTGTTCTCTAACGGATTATCAAACAAAACTCACAATAACGTAAGCCGATGACGAATAATATTTCACCTGGATATGCTGAAAAATTTTAACTTTTAAACAAAATTGTTCATAAACTTTGATGACAAATTTTCCGGAAAATGCGATAAAAATTGACTCGATTGCATTGATCTACAGCATTAAAAGACTTCTACCATACAGCCGAAATAGCTCAGTTGGGAGAGCGTTAGACTGAAGATCTAAATGTCCCCGGTTCAATCCCGGGTTTCGGCAAAGGTTGAAATATTTTTGTACTTTTACGATATGAATTCGAGTTTTACTTCTGACAGATAAATTCCAAAATCAATATTGTAATTATCAATTCGTTTTTTAATCAAGCTCGTTGAAAAGATAATCATTATAATGTTAATATTTATTTTAAGTATTTATATTTGATATAAAATAATTTTATCATCCTCATAATTTCGTACCGTTCGTTCAAAGCAAATTAATACCTCGAAACCGAGATCAAGTTTCCAAAAGCACTAATAAATCAAAGTTGTATGTACCGAACTAACTCCTTACACAGATATATAATTATTCTCATACTTGCTCAATTGTTCGAGAATATGTGGCACTCGCACACGACAATGTGTGCTCCTTTTCAAAAGTAAAACTTCTGTGCCAAGATATATACATTTTAGGCAAAAGGCAATATATGTATTTATACAGTTTCTAATTTAAATCGACTGCAGCTATATGGAATGGAAACGACGCGCAAGTGCAGCAAAAAGCTATAATCGTTATATATATAACTGCTGTATGGGTATATACCTGCAGCTGCAGCTGTCACGTGCACGAGATGAGATTCATAAAGCACCGAGAAGCTCGGCTACTACTACTACTACTACTACTACTACTACTACTACTACTACTACTACTAAAGTCAAGGATTTTTTCCTCTTTTTTTTTTAATAAAATTTGCATACGATTGCAGTAGCAGTAACTCGGTATTTTGGTGTAGCCGTTCGAGTTTTCTTTTAAAAAATGTCGCGGCGCGCTGCAGCGTAGATGTCGAGAGAATTTATTAGGGCCATTTCGTGAAAGCTCTCCGGGACTGTTGATGAAATAAAGGGAGATATTTATCCTTGGAGTAAATCTTTTTAATCAACTGCGTGCGCTTTGGAACAGAGTTGTAAAGATCAACTATTCAATTTCGAGTCTCGCTGATCTTTCACTGAAGATGTAAACGCAGACAAATTCATCCTTGCCAATTGCGCAATAGATACAACAGGAGCGTGAAATAATTCGTCGACGAGAGCTCCTCGTGCTTTACATCTTTATCATACAGCTCACGCTCCACTGAAACAATACACAAACACGCGTATTATACTTACTATTATACCTATCTCCGTACTTGGAGAAAACTCGAAAAGTTTCTCCCGCTCAACGCAGCACTCGGTCTTACGTGTAAATTCAAATACCTCGTATAAACATACGAAGCCCTCACTAATGAGTGTATCGTGTGCCCCGACGAGGTACATAGCTGCAGCTCAGGGAAATCCCTTTTCCGAATAAGAATAATATAAGCCGAAGCGGCCCCCTCGCTTATCCTGCGGTGTAGGATATACGTATACGCAAAGGATAGACGAGCACACATGTGCGCATCGGCAAAGATATATTATATAGGTACGTACGGCCGCTTATACGGGAGGAGCATATGCGCGCCCGGTCGCCACAGACAGAGAGGGAAAACACGGTGGGGATCGCCGTCATCATATTTGATGTGCACACGATTCGATAACTCGTTATCGACTGTGTGTGTAATATAGCGCGCGCCAGCCAACTTTTCCCTCCTTCGCAGTTCCGCCGCCCCAGCCGAGTGACTTTGAGCTTTAGCACATCGTGTGTGCGTCGCTAAGGCATCATGAGTGCGGGAAACGCGAGCCGGAAGACGAATACTACTGTACTATACTCGAGAGCGAGCTCTCGGCGCGGGGAGCGCGGAGGAGCAGGCGGATAGACATAGGAAGGATGCGGCGCGCGCCAGCGCCAGGGCTTTGCGAAAATATCCGCTAGATTATCTTCTCCGCAGGCGCGACTTTTCCAAGGCCTTCCAACCTCCTCTGATGTAGTATACTTATATAATAAACGTGTGTAGATACCGCATGTGTACTTAATGCGTCTTCGAGTTGCTTTCGTCCTTCTCTCGGCAATATGAGACGCGCTAGTTGGAGGCTTCTTTTTTTTTATCGCGATGTGCGAGATTGAATATTCGCGTGGATCGTACGTTCGATAAACATTAAATCGCGACGTAGTGACAATTTTGAGTCTCGCTATAAAAATTGATATAAAGACTCAAGGAGGTTCCCTTGCAAAATTCGCAAGAAGTATATGGGTCAAAATAATACTTTTTTACAAAACCGTGCGCACGTATGTCACCGATCTTGACACGCTTTTGGTATGTTATAGTACATGGTAAAAAGATCCCAAAAAAAATTTTTTAGACCCCCTCCCCCCTCCTACCCCCCACCTCCGGTATAAACGTCCATTTTCGATCTATATTTTTTCTGAGGACATGAAGCAAGTAAAAAATCTGAACAATTTCATAAAAATACTTTTCCATAATCCAAACAACCTTGAATTTTTTCAGATTTTTCGAGTGCTTCAGGCCTTCAGATAAAATCATTGAAAATTTCAAAAATCGAGATACGGCGGTATGAGCCGATGTAGTACTCGGAAATTTTTTCAGTTATTTTTCGCATTAAAAAACATAACCTCAATTTTTTTCAGATTTTTTTCAGATTACTTAACGCACCTTTTGAAGCCAAAAACCGCTTTTTTTGACGAAAATAATTTTTTTAGGACGGTACGGAGTCTCGAAAAATCTAGAAAAATTTTTTTCTCGTTTTTTTCATCAAAATACATAACCTCAAATTTTTTCAGATTTTTTAATTGAAGGCGATAGCTTCTAGGGCCGAAAAATGCTATTTTTAACAAAAAACGGTTCCTAGAACCCGATGGTTCCGGTAAAAAAATTTGAAAAAAATTTTTTTGGATTCCTTGACAAATTTTAATAAATTTTGACCGTTTCAGAATTCCGATTGAAGCCTCCTAGCTCATTCTAGAGCAGGACAAAGATTAGTGCAAAATATCTGAAGACGTTTCTGAAGACATTAAGGAATGATAAAACTAGTTTCATGCTCTACATTGAGCTAGGAGGCTTCAATCTAACAAGAAATCGAAAATGAAAGGAATAAGTGGAAAAATGTTTTAAAACGCGTTGTCAGTATAATAAAGTTTTTAGCTGCTGGGAATTTACCGTTTCGAGGTGATAATGAAATTTTAGGGGCCGCAAATAATGGTAATTTTCTAGGTTGTGTAGAACTACTGTGTCAGTATGATGAGTTTTTAAACGCTCATTTACTAAAATATGGGAATTGTGGGAAAGGTAATGTAAATTATCTGTCCCCAACAATTTATGAAGAGATCATAAAAATCATGAGCAAAAGAGTCAACAAAGAAATCATCGATAATATTAAGAGCTCAAAATGTTATTCCATTTCAGTAGATTCAACAACAGATTTCAGTCATGCCGATCAAATATGCTTGGCAGTTCGATATATTACAGACAATCGTCCAGTTGAACGCTTTCTGGCATTTTTTGTCAATCAAGGACGAAAAGCACAAAATAATTTGTATGCGATTACTGCATTTTTTCAGGAAAATGTTATTTCTTTGTCAGATTGCCGTGGCCAGTCCTATCAATGCTGCCATTATGAGTGGATGTAAACAGGGTTGTAACTGGTAAAAAAACAAAATCCCTTGGCGCTGTGGGTACCTTGTTTCGGACACTCACTGAATCTTGTTGGTACTGCAGTTATGACATGCTCAGAAAATATGGAAACAAAAAAATTTTTTGATTTTTTAGAAAATATCTATGTATTTTTTTCTGGCTCGTCAGAAAGGTACAAATTACTTCTAACTAAGCTTGAAGAAAATGTAGCTGGCACTGCCGATCGCTTATTGGTTCCAGAACGTGTGAGTACAACGAGATGGTCTTCGTGAGCAGAAGCTGTACGATCGATATCTGAGGGATTCACAGCGTATCGAGATGCCTTGCTAGAACTTTCATCGAGTAGCGTTGAAGCTGATGGTTTGCTTCAATATTTTATGTGCAAGAAATATTTGTTTCATGAATACCGCAAAACACTTTGTGCCTAACTTTTTTATAATTTTAATCAATTTGTGCATGAAATATTCGCACATGACATTACATTTTTTTCGTAATCGATCATTTGTGCCGGACAATAATTATATTGTGCGTAAAAATTTTTTACCTTTTTTTTTGTGCATAATAACTACGTGCTTAATTGTTTTGTGCATGAAACATAGGTTGTCAAATTTGCTTTGATGCTGCAAAGTAATGAAAATGAGCATATTTTCCGTTTTTTTTTTTTTTTTTTTTTTTATTAATAAGTGGTTCTGAATAGGAGGTATTAAGTGAATATTCTCAATTTTATAATAGAAATGCAATGGATTATCGTTATTTTTTCCACTTTTCATGGTCATTTTACTTTTTTATCTGAATATTTTTTTTCATCTTGTTTTCATATATGGAATACATCTTATAAAGGAATTGATCACGCTCACGCTCGATTTTTTGTGACAATTGTATTTTCACCCTCCTCTCTCACATAAGTTGAACAGAAATAAAAAAAATACTAGGATTGTTTTTACATACAAAAAATAGAAAAAAATAGATTTTTTTTAATTGCAAAAGTTGTGTTATAAAGTTTCAACTTGAAATTTTTCATTTGTGTCAGCGATCAAGGACCGGCGACAGGAAACGTACAAATCATTAGCGTGAACTGTCTAGATTTTGCTGCAGAGATCGTGGCTGGCGCTCGCGGGAATAGGGGATGATCTTGGATCAGGAGCCATACCAGACGGTCACTGGGATTTTCTCGCGAAGATCAGCGGCGACGGAAATGAAAGAGTGCTGGACGGTTCTTCGAGATTTGCTATATCGGCCACGCAAGCGATTTCAACGCCGAGCAATTGTCTATCCTCGAAAAAAGAAAAAATTATATTTGTTTAAATATAGAATCACAGAGAACAAATTAATAATTACAATGAACATATTTGCACAATGGATAATGTGCATGGTTCATAAATGAAATGACATAACGAAAAAGTAATTGATCAATATTTATATCATCAAACAGGAAAAAAAGGATGTTGCTTAATAGACATAGTAGATCATGCCGATAATTATCAACGAAATAGTATGAGCTGCAATACAGTGACCAACGACAGAAAAAAAAATTATTAACACCGAGGAAATTAACAATAACCTTATGACGTTTACGCGCCGTCTACACAAAAATTACAAATAAAACATTATAAATATCAGCGAAAGAATAAATTAATTCCATCGAATTAATGCTAGGTACAAAAGAAGCAGTGATAATTATTAATTATGCAGATAAATGAGATGAAACTATAGTTAATTTTAAATAATAATTTTACCTGTAAACAAGCAGCATACACAGAATAAGATTTTATTGAGGAGTATACGATGCAGCAGCACCTCAATGCATTCAATTTTACTCCACACCAGTGTTAAATCTTGTAAATTGAAAAACCTTAAAATAAAATGTTAAAATTAAATATTTTGTTTTTGAGGAAAAGATGTATTTCTGTTTTAATTCTTTTTATATAAGAAAAAATGTCTCTGGTACCTTTTATTTTTTAAATTAGTCCAGTGCTCATCAATACTGACTTATCATTCCAAAGCCTTGTGCCGCATGAATCTGAATGGAATCTTTGCATAACTTCTCCTGAAAACGGATTTAGAAGGGCTGAATTTTCTCTTTCCGCTTTTGTTAAGTGCGTACACAATTTTTCATGAATACCTCAAGAAAAACTAATTTTTTTGTTTTGGTCATTTTCAGGAACGACAGAACAATAATGGCCAACAAAAACTTGCAAAAATTATAGAACTTAAAAATTGAAATATTTCCGATTTCCATGTATTTTTTTAATGTCAAAGACGGCCGTTTATGAGTTTTTTTTTAGATAAAATATTAGATAACTCGAAAACTATCGAATAAGAAAAAATATTGAGATCTTTCCTGTTTTGAGCTTTTCAAGAGCTCGTTCTCAAGGGTAATCTGCAGGCCTAATTATCATTATATCGTCACTCCAGAGCAAACACTGCACTGCAATTTAAAAGGATAGTACTAATTTTAATACTGAGTTTCACGCGTGAATATCGGTAAATTGCGTTAAATTTTTAAAACAAATAAATTTACGATAGTTTAAAATTCATCAGCCACATTTGATGATCAAAAAGTTATTTAGATTTGGAACGTAACAGAATGCAAAGAGAATGGATATTAAAAATACAGCTTTGTTTTTATTTGATACGATTGATAAAATTGAAGTAAGAGAGAAAATTATCGAGAAGTCAAAATAGAATCAGCATAAACAATGATTAATAGTTAGAATAATATCGCTTATTCTTACCTGCACATAAAACCAAATCTTCGTTACTTTAAAACTGATATTTTTCGTCTAAGCTCACCATTGAACTGTTGGGGAGTTCTATTTCACTGAACAGTTATACAGCGAGAGGACAAATTCAAAAAAAAGGGGGAAACACAACTGTAAGGAATTTCACATTTTCATGCACACATATCCAAGGGGGATGTGTTCATTCAGTGAGATGATTACACATTTAATAGTTAATTGAAATATTTCGTGGTTCGTGTAAAATTTTAAACTAATCGTCAAAAAAGTTGTAAAATGTTTTAATTTTTTTCTGCATATTTTTAATCTCCCATTTGAAGATATAGACAATACTGAATACATAAGTTTGACTAACAAAATATATAACTCAATCATAAACAATCATTTTGCATAAAATTTGAAAATTGTCAACTTAAAAAAAAAATTTATAACATTTATGACATTTTGCAAGGATCGTTATTTTGAAAATATTTTTACACTAAGAGAAGATTTAAAAATTTTATAATTGAAATTTTTAATCGAAAAACTTTTTAGCGTCCAAGTTTAGCTAAACTTCTGTATAGAATCTAGCGATGTTTAAATTTTTTCTAGCAAACATAGCAATCCCTATGATCGTTTAAGAATCAATCCCTTTTCATAGTAATTCTATCTCCAGTCAAGAACAATTACGATTAGAAAAATTGTCTCGCAAATATCATCACTCGATGCGTAATTGATTTGTCGAACAGATAAAATACAGCCACTTTCAAACGGTGTAGCCATTCGTACGGTGTCGGAATGTATGTCGTCATTTTAATAAAATTTTTGGAATTATAACTTCATCTGGTATTTCCATTACGTGAAGTTTCAATAGAATTATTTCCCTAAACTTTTCACGCAAGCGTTGAAGTCCGCGATATCCCATTGTTCTTATGGAAGGTATTGTAAAAAATATACGAACACATGCACGGGCGCTCTCTGTCTGGGCCAGGATGGTCGAGGAATTTTAATCCAGCAGCACGCAGCTGTGCTTGGTGTTTTTCATAAGACGTAAGAAGCGTTGAAGCTTAAAAAAGGATTATATCGTATTAAACTTCAAATAAGTGAAGCAGAAGAAAAATGAACTACAGGAAGCATTTAAATTCTAGCTAAAAATATTACATTGTGGATTTCTAATTTGAATAACTATTTCATTTATGAAAAAAAATTGAATAAAATTGAATGTTTTGTCGAAACTTCAGCTTCGAGTCGAAGTTCCGAGGGTTTAAATGGTTCTAAATTTTTTATATAGAGAACAAGAAATAAAACTAGGAATTATGGGAAATAGCCGTAAAGGCATTAAAAAAAACCCAATTTATTGAAATGAAGGTGTGAAGAGCTTTTTACTAGGGATAAGGGAGGAGATAGAAAAAGAAGAGAGCGGAAGCGAAAATCGGAGCGGGCCGACAATAAACAAATGATCCTTATAGCAACGCGAGAACTCAACAAAGACTCTCTCTTTCTCTCTCCTTCTTGTGTGTACATTAATGGATAATTATTGATTGCTCAAACATTGAATACATAGGGGTCACTAAAAAATAGAAAAGTATGACATGTTCGAAATTGCCAGCAATCTAAGATTTTTTAAAAATTTTTTACTTCAATTTTTAAATTCGATTTCCAAATAACTGTGTAATATTAATTTTTATATATTCAAACTACCCGCCTTTTCTTAGGATCTGCCTGCGACAATATGGCCATTACAACGCTGCATTTGGACTCTGAAGTATACACTCTCGTGGCCAATAGTGAGTAGCTCCGGTACGCATTGGCACGAGTAAACACGTGTTTATGAGACAGATCGCTAAATTTTTTAGTGTCAACTTACTTTGATTTTTACCCTGCTTGTTTATTAGTTATCAAAACAACTCAAAATGTCTGTTCCCAATAGGGCTTTGAAGCGAAAAATGAAAAAGAAAGAGAAGAAAATGAAATTAGTCAAAGACAGTGAAAAAGTTAATGGTGAGAATTGATTAAAAATAGAGTTTTTTGATTGTTGATTACACTCAAACTTATTCAACTGTCATTATTTTCTAGATGTCAACAATGAAAAAAGTGAAAAAGAAGAAATTGAAGAAATGGATGAGCCAGTTGCTAGTAAGTTGATAGATTGTATTTTGATTACTTTATAATATGTCATTGAAAAACTCATGTGATTTTTATACTTAGAGAAAAGTGAAATAGCGCTTGAGGTTACCAAAGATGAGTTGCATATCGAAGGAAATGCAAGTGAAAAAATTGAGGAAGAAAAAAAATGCAATGATCAGTCCATCTCAAGAGTACCTGATTCAGCTGTTGATTTAAATACTACACAAGATACCTCTTTTTCTTCATTGAAAGATAAAGTTTGTGAAAATACTTTGAAGGCAATCGAAGATATGGGTTTTACGCAGATGACTGAGATTCAAGCAAAAGCGATCCCTCCTTTATTAGAGGGACACGACCTTGTTGGTGCTGCAAAAACAGGTTCAGGAAAAACTTTAGCTTTTCTTATTCCAGTGATAGAATTGATTTACAAACATAAATTTGTACCATCCAAAGGTGAGATTATCAACTGAAAAGTAAATTTATTATTTTCAAATATTTATGTGAACAAAATACCCAATTCTATTTTCTTCCCTTAACTCATAGGAACTGGGTGTATAATTATTTCCCCGACTCGTGAGTTATCGATGCAGACTTTTGGCATTCTCAGAGACTTGATGAAATACCATAATCATACGTATAGTCTTATAATGGGTGGTTCAAATCGAAAAGCTGAACTCGAAAAACTGAAGCAGGGTGCAAATATAATTGTGACTACGCCAGGTCGCTTACTTGATCATTTGAAAAATAGTTCTAAAGATTTCACATTTTCAAACCTCCAGTGCCTTGTTCTTGATGAAGCTGATAGAATTTTAGATATTGGCTTCGAAGAAGATGTAAAGCAGATTATTAGACTTCTTCCTAGTAAGTCTTATTTATGCAATATTTATTAAATTAATTCAACAAATAAACTTTAATCAAATATTGACTTTCTATTTTAGAGGAGAGACAAACAATGCTTTTTAGTGCCACAAAAACTGAAAAAACTGAGGCATTAACTGCTCTTGCGTTAAAAAAAGAATTAGTTTATGTTGGTGTAGATGATGACAAAGATAAAGCTACAGTTGAAGGATTGACTCAAGGATACATTACAATGGATAGTGAAAAAAGACTTCTCATGTTGTTTACATTCTTAAGAAAAAACCGTAATAAGAAAATTATGGTCTTTTTCAGTTCTTGCAAGTCTGTAAAATTTCATAATGAACTTTTTAATTTTATCAAACTACCTGTTATGAGTATTCACGTAAGAAATTCATCAAATTTATAAAAAAAAATTTATGCCGATCTTTCAGTTATTTCTTCATTACTTATATGCTTTTTACAGGGAAAACAACAACAATCCAAAAGGTCAGCCACATTTTATAGCTTTTGTAGTGCAAAGTCTGGAACCTTGTTATGTACAGATGTTGCAGCCAGAGGTTTAGATATTCCTAATGTTGATTGGATTGTTCAATATGATCCGCCAAATGATACAAAAGTGTGTATGCATGAAAAAATAATGATGAAAACTATTTCAAATATTGAATATATGAAAATTTTATTTTTAAGGAATATATTCATAGAGTCGGTCGTACCGCTCGTGGAGAAGGTAGTTGTGGAAATGCCCTATTGATTTTGCGACCAGAAGAGCTAGGATTTTTGAAGTATTTAGAGGAAGCCAAAGTTCCTGTTATTGAGTTTGAAGTTGAAAGCAACGAAATTAAGGACATTCAACTTCAGGTAGGCATTTCAAAAGTCTTGAAAAAAAATATATTGTACATAGTAAATTTTAATTTCAAATAAAATTTCAGCTAGAGGAATTGATTTCCACAAAATATTTTCTGCAATCTTCTGCTAAAGAAGCTTATGCTGCTTATGTGCGAGCTTATGACTCCCATAATCTAAAAGATGTGTTCAATGTAGATACTTTGAATTTAGCCAAAGTAGCCAAATCGTTCGGATTTGAAGCACCACCAAATGTTGATTTTCGTATCCTTTTTAAAACATAAATTTATCAAAAAATACAATTTATAAACTTTACATTTCAGAATTGCCATGTAAAAAGTCATAAAAATTTTAATTTTTTTTATAAAATATTTTTCTTGACCTTTATATTAAAATAGGATTAGTTAGAAAAAATATTGATAACTTCTGCCGTCCTCGAGGGAGTCGAAAATCCAATGAGTATGATCCAAAGGCAGCCCAAAGAGATCGTCGAACAAAAGTATATCGAAAATTTAAAAGCAACCAAGACCGAAGATTTTCACGATAAGTTTCGTTTGTGCAAATACAGCATTCAAAATGAATTTTACGAATTATGTTTCAGAATTTTCTAATTCAATTTTAGAAACTCTACAGCACCTCGTGATTTATGTACATATGTTATGGTGACAAATAAATTGTTTAGTTTATTAAAAATATCATGTAATGATACTTTTGAACTGTTGAAATTTTGTACAATTTTAATTTGTAAATAAATTTTTTTATGCTAAATGCCTTCACCGCAAACTTATTTTTTCTTCCTTAAAATAAAAATATGTTCTTTGAACATTTGGCATTTAAACTTCAAGCAATGGTTTTAAAAAAAGTTATTTTATAAACTTGATTATATACTCTAACAATTACCAATTAGTATTTATGACTTTAATGCTCGACTGTTTAAATAAGCCGCTCTTTAAATTAAATTGGTAAAAAAATGCATGTATAGCGACGTCACAATTACACTTGTAGTACCCCCACTCGAGATCTCGCCAGCTGCTTCCAAGTTCCAAATTTCCAACGCATTGCTTGAGAAGCACGTGTGGACAGTGTGGTAGACGCATCTTTTGACTTGAATCGTCAAATTTGATTTTTGTTTTGTGTTAAACCGAATTGTTTACTTTGTCGAATTTCAACACCAAAAATGTCTGTCCCTGATAAATCTTTAAAAAGAAAAATGAAAAAGAAAGAGAAAAAAACAAAGTTAGTTGCAGTGAGTGAAAGCAAAGAAGTTAAAGGTGAGAACATATTAAAAAAGTGTGGTTATTGTTTTCCTTTTCATATATTCATTAAAATATTATGGGTTTACAGATATTGATAGAAAAAGTGAGCCATTGGAACTTGAAGAAAAAAATGAACCAGTTGCAAGTAGGTTGATCTTATGTTATGATGTTTTACTATTGTTTCATACAGTTTCATAGCTATGAGTACAAATATAATATAGTCAATTAAATGATTATTATGATCATAAAATTATATTATGTATTGCAATAAACTTATCTAATATTAATATTTAGAAAAAAGAAAAATAACAAAAGATGACAAAAAATCCGAAGCCAGTCGAGAAAAGGAACCGACTACCAATGAAAAAAATGATATCAACGGAGTTGAGAAAATTAAAGACAATCAAGGGAAAAAATCGCCCAGTAATGAGAAAAAAGACGAGAAAACAAATGCACAATGTAAGTAGTTTATTTTGTTATACAATTTTTTATGTAAAAAAACTTCTTTCTCTCGCTCGCTCTCACGTGTCGGTACCTGTTCATACGTATTGCTACTTGCACTCGATAGTCATAGATCGTAGACACTACTTTTTATTAATTTACTTAAATATAACTATGCGTTGATGGGTATGTTATTTTATATTTTAATCTAATTATAATTAATTAAAATAAATGTTTATTTCCTTATGACAGTACCTGGATCATCTCTTGGGTTGCAAATCGCGCAAGATAAATCATTTTCTTCGTTGAAGGATAAAGTTTCTTGGAATACTTTAAAAGCAATTGAGGAAAAGGGTTTTACTCAAATGACTGAAATTCAAGCAAAAGCGATCCCTCCTTTACTAGAGGGACATGATCTTGTTGGTGCTGCCAAAACAGGATCTGGAAAAACTCTGGCTTTTCTAATTCCGGCTATAGAATTAATAAAAAAATTGGATTTTAATCCAAAGTATGGTTAGTATTATCAAAAACAACAACAATTTTATTATTTTTCATAATTATAATTACTATAATAATTAATTTTTATCTTGTTTTAGGTACTGGATGTATAGTTATTTCACCAACACGTGAACTAGCAATGCAAATTTTTGATGTTCTGGATGATTTGATGAAAAAATATCATTATATTACCTACGGCCTTTTGATGGGTGGAGCAAATCGCAGTACTGAAGCTTCACAACTAAAAAAGGGCATAAATATTGTTATTGCAACACCAGGGCGATTACTTGATCATTTACAGAACACTGCGAGTTTCACATTCAAAAATCTTAAATGCTTGGTAATTGATGAAGCTGATAGGATATTAGCTGATGGCTTTGAAGAAGACTTGAAACAAATCATTAAACTTCTTCCCAGTGAGTAGTAGGATATATTTAATTGTCCACTTCAATTGGAACTTATATTTAAATTTATTAAAAAATTGTATTTCAGAAAAGCGACAGACAATGCTCTTTAGTGCCACACAAACTGAAAAAACTAAGGCTTTGACTGCTCTTGCAATGAAAGAAGAGCTAATTTATGTTGGTGTGGATGACGATAAAGATAAAGCCACCAATGAAGGCTTACAACAGGGTCACGTTGTGTGTCCCAGTGAAAGAAGATTTCTTATGTTGTTTGCATTCTTGAGAAAAAATCGTAACAAGAAAGTAATGGTCTTTTTCAGTTCTTGTATGAGTGTGCAATTTCATGAGCTACTTTTAACGTCTATTGATCTTCCAGTTCTATCCATACATGTAAGAAATTGATTTTAAATATTCATTATGTTGCTTAAATTTATTTCGAATTGCTTCTTGATCTTATATGTCATACTTTTTACAGGGAAAACAAAAACAAAGTAAAAGATCAACGACATTTTACCAATTTTGCAAAGCCAAAACTGGTATTTTATTATGTACAGATGTTGCAGCCAGAGGTCTAGATATTCCAAATGTAGATTGGATTGTTCAATACGATCCCTCGGATGATGTAAAAGTATGTATTACGAGAACATGTAATCTGGAAAATTTTTTTCTGCATTTATAATGCAACGAAATAATTTTTTTTTTTAAGGAATATATCCATAGAGTTGGTAGGACCGCTCGTGGAGAAGGTTCCACTGGTCACGCGTTATTAATTCTTCGACCTGAAGAATTGGGATTCCTAAGATATCTGAAGCAGGCCAAAGTTCCAGTAAATGAATATGAGTTTTCATGGGACAAAATCGCAAATATTCAAAGTCAAGTAAGCCTTATTTTTCAGTTTTTAAAAATGAATGATGATAAAAAAGAGTAAATTAAATTGTACCGATAACTTTGACTAATTTCGATTATTATTATTATAGCTGGAGATGTTGATTTCGAAAAATTATGCCCTAAATTGCGCGGCTAAAGCTGCTTTCAAATCTTACGTCCGAGCTTACGACTCACATAGCCTCAAGCATGTATTTAATATCGAAACTTTGGACTTGGCTAAAGTGGCTAAATCGTTCGGATTTGCAGAGCCACCGATGACCGATTTAAGTATCCTTTTTAAAAAAAAATGAAAAAAATCTAATTTTATAAATTTCAGGGAATTAATTAATTCGTGTATATACATATATATTCTTTTGATAAAATAACATATCGTGTTTTTCCTTAATCACAATGTTAACGCAGAATTGGAATTGAAAAAGAGTAAACAGCGTCGCCGTAATGAACGACTACAAAGGCTTTAAAGGCAGGAATAAATCGTGGTAATTTTACACCCGAAAGACTTCCATGTAAATTTGTAAATATCGTTAACTCCAGTTGGTAATAAAAGTATTGTGAATCGCAAACTGATCTCAGGCCCATTCTTTTCCCAACCCAACCCTTTATTTCACTATTTATTTAATTATTTATTTATTTAATTTTTTCATACGAGTCGCGAAATTAATCATTTCGGAGCAACGAACAGCGGACTCGTCCGTCGTATTACGCGTAAATAGTATAGGGTATACCGTTGCTCTAATTGCCATGTAGCCAACGCCGTTTTGACGTATTACAACGACGATCGCAAACAACAATTGAATTTTTCCCCCCGTCGGCGCGCAAAAGAGAGCGACAAGTGTGAGTCTGCCACGACGTCGACACATACGCACGCACACGCGAAATTCCTCCTCTCCGTCTCGCTCTCGCGAATCGCGGATTCGGCATTCACCTTCACATTACCACATACTAACGTATACACACATATATTTATATGTACACACACATACTTCACATATACACACACGAGCGCACACATCGCCGAGTCGCCAACTCTCTCTCTTTCTCTCTCACGTACATACGTTATATATATAATACGCGAGCCGCATCCACGACACTCCAGTGTGCAATATATCTGCCGTATAGTGTAGTTCCCTTTTTTTGTATCAACGCTCTTACAAGTCGAATAAGTCGAGGAAAAATGGCACCCAAACAGAGAATGCGCATCGCCAACGAGAAAGCCACGAAATTCATCACCCAGCGCGGCAACGTGCCCAAATCCACCGTGAGTAAAACAACCCCTTAATTTTTTTTCGCGAGCATATTGAGCGCGGCACGCCGTGTGCCTATCGTCAATAATAAACACGCGTACGGAACGTTGCGGTACGTCATTGTTTGGAGCCAATTCGTCCAGCTGCTTGGGCCGAAATTATCGCTCGAACGACTGGCCCTTTGGGACAGTTCTCTTCGCTAACAATTTTCAGTCGATGCTGGTCGGCTAATTTATTATTCGCGCGTACGTGGCTTTCCGAGGTTAGGCTGCTTTCATTAACAGCTGGATCGATTTCGATTGACAATTTGTTGATGGACTAATAGCTTTGATTGTAATTCGCGCGAAAAAAGCAAATTTATGACGATAAAGTAGAGTTAACGATGGCTTTGATTTCTTTTATCGCAGAAACAACAAGAGGAGTCTGCGCCCGTTGGACCATGGCTCTTGGCGTTGTTCATCTTCGTCGTATGTGGCTCAGGTAAGATCCGTGTAATGTGTTGCACATTTTTTTCATATTAAATTTTGAATCAATGACAGAGAAGTAGCTCTTGATGCTTGAAAAAACTAACGTTTACTCAGTCAAACATCTGGTATACAAAAATGACACAATTACGGTACCATATGTAATTGAATTCATTCTTGTGTCAAATGCATATGTTAACAGAAAAATATCTTTATGCATGATTTGATAGATTGATTATAACTTACTTTTCCTATTTATTAGCAAACTATGAATGACGCAACGTATTCTAAAATATTGTGAATTATTTTACAGCTGTTTTCCAAATTATCCAAAGCATCAGGATGGCATAATTTTCCAATTTTTTCCACCTTGACTCTCAGCTAAATCTTTCATCATGGTAATGTCTATAATGTTTTCCACCTGCGAGGTTTTTATTCATATACTCAATCATAATGACTACAATCTGTAATGAAGAAAATAAGACTACTCAAGAGGAAGGGTGATAGTGGCCTTTTTATACCTCCATTGCATTATTGATTTTCTAAATTAAAAGATTTATCTAGTGTATTACTTTTGTCGATGTTATGAGGACTTTCAGAAAAACTAGTATTGGAAATGAATTTTTGTACACTGAACCATTGTAGAACATCTCTGTTCAATTAGACAAGTTCTTTTAGAATATTTTATAGCATGAGATTGTATACTAGTTAAATTAAGAATGCATGCCTAATGTTATATTTTTTATTGTACAAAATCTGATACAGATGAGGCTTAATTATGTTTTAAAGTTGAAAATCTGTTTTATATTTACTTTCTTCAAGATCTTTTTCTGTGTTTTGTTGTATAGATTTTGAATTGTAAATATGTATTATCAACCTATTCATGTCATGTTTGATAATGAAAGCATTCCAATGAAAGGCCAATAATTAATGATTGACATTAGCATAAAAAAGTATATATATTATATAAATAAAGAAAATGTTGTCAATGAACTTTTAGTTTGACTTGTAAAAACCAATATAGAACTTTTTATAAGAATATAAGGTACAATTTTGAATACTGAGTAATCAACAAGACGAGTGCAAAATTGTCGAATATTTTATGCAATAAATAATTGGTATTATAACGAGCATTTAACAGTTTCATTTATTATGTTACCTTTTACTGAATCATTAACAGAGTTATTGACGTCGTTTGTTTGACGCAAGTGTTGTTAAACGTCATAAATCATAAATGTACTCTATATTACTCCCGGAAAAATAAATTTTCCGTCGGTATTGTCTACACATTGACAAATTGTGCGCGTTTTGTTAAAAGTGCAAGAAAGCATTAACATAACTTGCTGGTACGAAATTTTTCATATGGGAGTATATTTATTAACCTTTTTCTAATTAGGCATAAAACATTATATTTATATAGTTGATGATTAAGAAAATTTCAAATATGTATAATCTATGAAAAATAACACACAAAATACGTTAATTGCCTTAATTTATTTTATTAATTCTATAATATTATATCATTTATATAATCAGATCTAGAATTTTTTAATTTATTTTGACATCTTTAAAAACTAATAAATTTAAAGAATTAATAATAATAATATTTTGCATCGCTGCCCATTTTGATATAATAAAATCATTTTTATATTAAATATTGATAAATATATATTTGTATTGTCATATGTGCGTTCACTTAACTGTATATCAACTTGAAAATAAAATATGAACAATAAATTTGTTTTTCTTATACAGTTAGATCGGGAAGACTACATTATTTCAACATTTGGATTTTTTTCTCAAATCTACGAATTACTGGAAGAGATCTGGCTATTAAACCGCTTTTTGTTGGCGAAACTCTCTTACGAAAGCACATCGTAGCTAGAAGCCTCGTTTAAAAGAAAAACAACTAATAATGATTTTGTTGCGCCATTACAATTCCTCGATCGTTTACACAGATTCATACATATTTCAGTAAACAAATAAATAACCATGATTGACATTTTTTTTCGTTCTAATTCTTATGAATAGCTAATTGCGTTCATTATTTTATTTTTACAATGATTCAAAAAATATTTTCCATCTACGCATTTTCCACAATGTGAATTTTGATTTTGATCGTTTTGAACTTCAATAATTTATTATTTTTCTCTAATTCATTCATTCATGCACACATACATTGCTATAACAACTATTAATATTCAAGTTTAATTGATCATAAGTTGATTTACTTATCAATAACAACAAAAAACATCGAAAATTCATATCTTTCTTTCAAAATGTTATAATAATTGTAAAAACATCAAAATTATAAGGCAACTGTATTTTGTCGACTAATCATTGCTGTCAAATTTTTTGTGCAATCAGGTACACGTTAAAAAGCTACCGATTGCCCTACATCAACATTTCAACTATTATATCTAAGTGTAATATAATTTTTTACTGAAAAGTGAAATAATCTCCTTGAAAATTCATGAATGAGAGAGAATGATATGAGAAAAATCATCGTTATATGTACGAAAGAAAATACAATAATGCTCGGATGAATGATCAATGAAAATTAAAAATGAAATTGTTACATTTACAATAAAAAATGGATATACACACAATGGGAGATATCAAATAATCATAAATATTAATAAATATATATTTATATTATTCATCATCCGCGCGTAGTATTTATTTCGGGACGGGTCATAGAAATTTTCGTACGGATGGCTCTAATTAACCGTCTTAAAAATTTCTTGCTCCATCGTTCATGTACACATACATCTTATGGCAGGCCAGAAATTTATACAAATAAAGAATGAAAAAAATAAAATTTCATAATAACTTATGTATACATACAATATATATATTTTTTGTTTTTGTTCACATATACGATTCTATATTTATGCATATATACGATCTTTTTCTTGCATATATGTATAAATATACATGTATATTGTATATTGCCTGGATTCTTGCGTGCGCATAAATTCATGTGTTATACACAATTTTACATATGCCGAATTACCCCTTCATTCTACGATACAATAATTGCTTATAAATAAGGTTGCACTTTTAAAATAATTTACTCACATTTACAAAATTTAATAAAAGATTAAGTAAATCGAACAATCTCTTAAGGCTGTTTTACAGACCCAATAATAATTTGAAGCCTACGTCTCGATTGTCGAAACAACATTGATAAATATATGCTCTTTTTTTATAAATATTCATACTTTCAGTATCTTCACGTTTCGCGAGTGATATAATATATAAATATATTTTGAACAAATTTGTATTTTCTTTTCTTAAAAAATAAATTCGTTAATACGTATTTAACAGAATTTATAATTCGCGATTTACAGTTGTTCATTTTTTTATATGTATAAATAATATATAATATATATGTAAATATATTTAAGGCACAGATCATTGTCTTTGAATAATTGCTCAAACTCTTCGCTTACAACCTATTACTCTAACGACTATAGACTATTAAAAATTGATTGCCTTGTCAATTTCGCGTTACAAAAATATGTTTACAGTAATTGATTTTATTATATACGCTGATGTTTTTCGACGCAGAAACGAACTTTTCTCGCGCGAGTGCCTGAATTTCGTGTATTTTTTTCCCATACAGCAGCAACGGTAGCGGGTCATCGTCGCCGGGTAAACTCTCATAATCTGGATCATCTGACAATTTTCCATTGACGGCCACAGCATAAGTACAGTGAGATTCTTAGTCTTCTGGATTAATTTTCGTAGGTCCAAGTGTCGTATTGCGTCACGCCTTCTCGGAGCCGTTTTTCCGTAAAACAATACAATCATCGCTTTCTTTCGAGGACTCGAAATAATTTTCCAAGATTGTTTTTTTCTTTTTTTACACATGTCAAAATATAAAATTTTTCGAAAGATAAAGGAGTTGGAAGAAACGGGAACACTGACCAAAAAATTGATTATGGAATCTAGTCAATGGCGCGATTATCACGCCATCCAGCCGATCAACGTGGCTCGATCACAAAATTTTTTGCAGTAACGAATTCAAAAATACTTGAAAAATATCGTGGCAAAAAATAACGGGTTCATGAACTATTTCAAATTTCGAAATGCATGATTGTACAAAAAAAAAGTAAAGTTTGTCAGTGTAAGAAAGGATCGAGAAGGAGAAGGTTCGAACAAATAGAAAAAAAAATGAAGAAAGAGAAGCGGCGAAATTAACATCGACGACGGCGACGAGGCGACGACGATTTGAGCAAACGAAACGAGTCTCTTATATACCTCGTTCGTAAACATGATTTTAAAATATTAATAATAACAGAGATGACATAAAAAAGTATTCACCGTTGAGGAGTAACAATAAAAAAAAAAGTCAAAGCTATCGTAAAGAAGTAAAAAGAAAAAAAATGATAGAGAAATTTAGATAATGCCTCGCAATTGAACGCGCGCTGATGTATATGCCTATGATTATAATATATGTTCAGGTAATTTATAGATGCTCTGCGTTTGTCCAATAATCCAGGTGTTAGCACGGGAACGAGTAGTGTGGGTAATCCATTGTTAGCACTCCGCAAGCCTAGAGGCCATGGGCAACCATAGGGTTAACAAGAAAGAAAAAAATAAAACAGTCTGGTTAGTTTATCTCTCGATTTTGGTGAATAATATCTTCATTAATTATTTTTGATTATATAATTGTCAACGGGCGTAAAAAAATCTTTCAAAAGTCACATGATTCTCCATTAGTTAAAAAAAAATGAAAAAAAGTAAGAGTTTGTGTTATGTAGTATCGTCACATTTAGAATAGGAAATAACTTTTGCCATTCAACGTGATGTATAAAGAGAATATCGATAAGTAGTACAAGCGAAATAAGCAAGCGTTAGTGACTTCGTGATATTTAATTTTTTTTTCACATTTCTCTTTTTTTTTTTTTATAAACGAACGACTATTTTACAAGTGGAAGTACTGATCTTTTTACACCCTTTGACTTTATGAAATATGCAAAATTATTTATTCATTCCAGGTAATTAATGTCTAAAGAAATTGTTTACTTAAAATTTCGATGAAAAATTGAAATAATTATATCATGAATATCAACCTGAAATAAATAATCAATTTACATTTTTATCATTATTATAAAATGTAATGTTGCAGTTGTGCAAAGCGATGCTCTAATATTTACTTGTTAAAAGTTACGATTAATAATTTCGTTTACATGTAAACAAAAAAATGTTGTTATAGATACATAGAATTTCAAAGATGATGGTAATTGTTAGTTTCTACAATGAAGTTACGTAATTTTTTTTTTGTATTGCCAAATTGCAAATCATATGTAGAGTGTCACTTTGCACTTGAATATTATTAACTTGTTCGATCGAGAGAAATTATTATTTTATTCCAAAAGTCAGTATAACATTGATTAGTCTATAAAGCCTTTGAATCATCACATACGTAAAACGATATTATTATTGACTCGTGAGAGCTGTTTCTTTTTTACTATTTTTATGTAAAAAAAACGGTAAAATCGTAAATTTAAAAATGAATGATATGGCGAGATACCTGCGCTTTTTGTTAACGATAAAATTGTTGTATAGATTCGTTAACAGCGATCGATCTTAAAAGGGTTTTGCCAATTGGACAAAATAGGATTTTATTTTTCATTCCAATTCGATCAAACTTTTCAGTGTAGATCAATTGAACTTGGCCGACTTTAAAAAAAAAATTAGTTAAAAATTCAAGTTAATAACTTGCGTATACTTTCAAGAATTAAAAATCAACTAGTTCGTCGCCGAAAGTATTTCACGTAAACAGGTGTTTTTACAAAATTAAGTTAAGTTTATTTTTTAGTGCATTAATGTAATCAACAGTACACAAAAGATAGATGAACATAATCGATTGGAAGAAAAAAGAGTTATTACGATCGGCGTAATTATGAGAGATGATCGTAGAAAAAAATTGACGCTTATTATCATCAATTTGGGTGCACACCAGCCACCAAAAACCCTATGATGAACATTATTTTGATTATATAAATGTATAATATATAAAGGTGCCAGTACTTTTGTTACCATAATTTGTTCGTAAGCACGTATTATTTAAAATATTATTTAAGATTAATAAACGATACACATGAGTCTAAGTAAAAATTCG